TAAAATTTCTTAGTAAATTATAAAAACTGTAATAATTAAAGTTATTCTTCATGATAAATTTTATAATATTCTATTATTATTAATATTGTTAAAAGTAAATATTAATAAGTTAGTTAAAGGTCAATGATAAAAATTTTAATTTTTCATAAAAGTAAATCAGAAGGGAATTTATAGTAAATAAGCAGGTAAATTTGCCTGCGAACCTCTATAGTTTAAGGGATAAAAACAGGCATAACCTATTAGAAATCAGAAGAGATTTACTGAATCAGCTTAGAGATTTCTACTAGTACATAAATTGTGACCTATATGGGAGGCATTCAATAGAAAAGGGAGAAATCTACTTTTTAGTTAAAAATTTTTTTATTAGTTCACTCTACTGAATATAGTTATGTGAATAAAACTAGCTTAATAACTAAAATTACTCAAAATTTGTAGATTTCCTCCTTTTCTATTGACTGCCTCCTATATAGTAAAATAAGAAAACAACACTCAGACGATCATTTCAAATATTTAGGATAAACACACCTCATAAAATCTTTTAATAAGTCTTGTAGAATTTGTCATCAATCATCTGGAAATCCAAGTATACAATTTCAAAGATTCTATCAGTAGATTTACCAACAATATTGTGCATATACATATTCATCTCTAAGTGAACAATACTTTGAAGAAATAGGACAGTATTTTGATATTAATAATCCTTGTAGTCTTGACACTGAACAAGCAGCAAAAGCAGCAATATCTTTAGTATTCAGCCTTAGATTCATGTGTTACTTTAAACCAGAAGTAATATATCAACATATTCTTATCACCTCACATAACACTAACCATTTTACTTATGGAGAAACCCTCCACCAAATCTTGCAAACATGGCTATGACAGTAGACTAACTCAATGTATTGATAATGCAAATTACAACCAGTATAACTAACGGATTTAATGGTATTAATATTCCAGCACTACCTATGGTAGGAAGTTCTATTGTAAAGTCGACCCTTTTTATGGAAAAGATAGCAAAAACGCTCAAGAATGGATTGAAATGTTTTTAAAAGCAAAAGAAGCTAATGGATAGCCAGACAATAGAAGAGTAGCAATTGCAATAGGAATGTTAAGGGAAGAAGCAGCTGACTGGTATAATTTAGTAAGCATTACAATTAACAGATGGGACAGAGATGCAAACACAAGATTTAAAGAAAGATTCTTAGCACGCTTCTCATCGCAAGAAAAATTACATAGATGGCAATATGAACTAATAAATCTAAAATAAGGAAATGAAAAGGTTGAAACCTATGCATCGAGATTTAAGAAGTTAGTAAATAGAGTAGAGTAGATGCAGGAGGAATCCCAGATGCCTTTAAAGTACAAATGTTCTTGAGCGAATTAAATAAGGAACTAGCAACTTTAGTTGCAATTCAAAATCCAGCTAATTTAGATACCACTATTACTCAAGCTAAAACTGTCGAAGCAGGAAGATATTATGCAACAGACTACGATTTTAGCAAGCCAAAAGTTGAAGATGACATTGAAAATTATTCAAATATTTTGAACAAATGGCTCTGAATCAAGTAAACATTATGGCTGTGTTAACTACTAATCCAACTGAAAGAAAGAGTTACAATCCTGAAGGCAAACTAAGAAAGGAATTAATCTGTTTCAGATGTGGAGAAAAAGGTCATATAGCCAGATGATATCTTTCAGAAAAAGTTTTATCACAAGATAACTGGAGAACTAGAAATGGAGATCAAAATAGAAAGGAAATAAATATGCTTAAACAAGAAGTCTTTCCAGTGATTAAGAGAAAAAGATCTGAATCGTAAAGAGAAACTAATATCAGATGAACTCGATCTCAAATAATTAATGAACCAATGGAGATAATTGAGCAAATACCCCAAACAGTAGTAGATAATACTACTAAGCCTAGAAAGAGAATACCTAGAGGACTATCACTTTTAGATAATATTAAACCTTACAACATTTAGAATGATCTTGTAAATATTAAAGCTAATGTTATTTATTATTAATTTTAATAGAATCCTGTATCTGCTTTGATCGATATATAACTAAGAATCAAAATAAAGATTTTTATAAAGATTTATTTTTAAGTTAACAAAATTGATTCAAAGTACTCTTTAAAGATTTTAATAGAGTTATTAAAACAATATATGATTTGAATGTAAATCATAAATTAGATTTAGCTGAAAAATATTTTCAATAAATTTGTTACTTGTGAAGATATTGAAAAAAAAAGACTTTGTTATTATTAATGAAAATCAATCTATTCTGTTAAAATGTGATAATAAAATTGTTGGAAGAGTAATTCGTAATATTGCAAAAAAAAATGTTGCAAATCATTTTGAACTTAAAATGAAACTTACTTGTGATGCACATCCTAAAATTAATCGTAAACAAAAAACACATGCTGATTCAGAAAAATTAATTGGTCATGATCTTCATGTAAATTTTTTAGATTCATCAACTATTGATTCATATGTATATAAAAATAAAAATCTTGATCTAGAGATACAAAGAATATATGAGAAGATAGAGATAGTTTTGAAAATAGTTATATAAAAATGCTGAAGATCATGTATCATAGTCAGTATTATCATATGAAATATTTAAGCAAAAAGTAAATTTAAATAATGAACAGAAAATA